CGCTTAATCTGTTTTATTAAATAATACTTCGAGTTGTAAGTAACCCTTTAGATCACTAATTAAGTTAGTTTAGTTTATTTGTTTGGTTTTAGTTTGAATTTTAATCAATTACTAAAACCTGCTGACAGAACGAACAACAACAAAGCAGAGAAGCGCGAAATACGAAAGAAACACGTCGATTTTTAATATATGTGGTAAATAATGTATCGTAGCATTCTGGCAGCGGGGCTACCGAGGATCTTTAAAACAATAACTACTTAACGATATGCGTTTTTTAATTAAATTAGCATACACCTATATCGTTAATGACCGCACTACAAACCCAGGAGAGCAATTTACAAAAAAAGATGGCTACGGGGCCGAAAACAACGAGTATAGCATGAAAAATTCAAAACATACAGAGACTAAATCCCCCAAAAAAGTGAAAGATGAAGGCAAAGAAAAGCATATTGATAACAACAACAATTTTCAGTAACTTGTTCGCCTTATTACCGTAGGGCATCTAAAGAAATAAGGGCAAAAAAAAAAACTTAAAGCATAAACTTCCAGAAAGTTTATACCGAAACTAATAACATACAATCCAAAAAACCTTATGATAGATCTTTAAAAAATAATTGTGGGTAACAACTTAAGCTGCTAAAAACAATAATTACATAAGATCGGGAAAACACCGCGCCTCCTGATCCCATTCGACAGAAAACGGACCAGCTGACCATTCCATTAAATAATTGAATCATAACAAAACATTAGGCACGCTCACGAAGAGAATTAACACAAAATTCTTTCTCTCTCGACAAAAGCACTCTCCGAAGGTTTATTTAAAGAATTTAATATTATATACACACAAAACGGATATAAAACTGTTTTCTCCATGTGAAACTGAAGAAACATATATTTTAAAATGTCTCAACGCAAGCACATAAAAAAAAACAACTGGACGCGCAACAGAGAAATTTTCTTAACAAGTACTATAAGAAAAAGAACTGCGTGGTCATGGAAAACGTCATAATCTACTGGCTTAAAGAGTCAGGAATACTAGTTACCGCCATATCATCTCTAATTTATATAAGAACACATAGTCTTTATAGAAAACTATACGGTTTACTTAGAAACAAGGGACTAAAAAGAGACTGACACAGTACCTACTGATCGTGTGAAAAGGACTAGGAGTTGGAATTCATCGAATAATACTGATAGAATTAAGCAAAAAGGTCTACTGCTTTAAAATAATCCCTAGCCCTCCATTTATAAGATTACTAAAATAAAAGTGCCGGAGATCCGTAGCGTTTGATTTGCATATATGGTAGTAATTTAGTGACTGCAACTTTTTTGTATTAACTCCTTCTATAAGTTTCTAATAGTTAATAAGAGCCCGAGCCCTTAACTTTCACATAATAATTTATTTTATTTAGACGTGCAACTTTCGATTACGGTATCTTTTTGAGCTGATACTTACCTTTTTTTGGAAGAGCTATATACATACTCAACTCAATTTTGGTAGATATGTCAGATGAATCCACCTATAGAGCACTACAAATTCGAACATGCATCCTACGGAAACCCAAGCCCATATTAAAAAATACAAAAAACCCTTATAAAAATATTCGAATGTGAAATATGCTTAACACACAATAATAGAAAACCTGAGCATTTCAAGAATGTTGTTACTCTAAAATTGACAGCTACAATTATGTAGTTGTGGAAAAGAGAACGAGTCAAAGAAAACAATTGCCTTATTCATCAATAATGAATGGATCAAAATCCATAACAAAAGAAGTCAACAATTAATATTGAAAACATTTAAGCAGTAACAATTAACTAAGAAAGCGAATTTAAAAACCCCTTCTAAAAAAACTAAACAGATAAGACATTATACTCGGTTTTATTTCTTACGGCCACACACCAGTATATGTTGTGCGAAAGAAATATATAGACATAATGTATCACACGAGCAATGAAAATTACAGAAAAATCATTGAACTGAAGTAGTTACTTTCGAACAGATATATGGACTACAGAAGGCAAACATACTATTAATCAAACCTCTTGACTGTATAGCATTTATACAAACACCGATTGTTAAAGAAACTCATAACTTCATGATTTTACAGGAATACAGGTGACTATACTTCAAAGTTTAAGAGTTTCTTGCTTCAGAAATATTCTATGCTTTTATTATATCCGTACTACGGAGGAAAAATGGTAATCAGTAACATGATTCGTATTTAAATACAAACAAATTTATAAAATTAATGTTGAAAAAATGTTACAGACAATATTCAAATTATTTTTTAAAATGTTGGAATAATTACAACCGAGGAAGAAAACTACGAAGAAAACAAGATTAATAATAATCCATTAGAAATTAATAAAAGCTAACTTAAACATTGTTATCTACCTAAATCTACTACTAAGCAAATGAAAACACTGGAAAATTAATATAAAAGTACGAATAAATTTATCTTCCAAAATTTAAAAATTATGTAAAACAAGAATAGTAATATATTACATATGATAAACAAACATATTATTATTTAGATAAACTACTGAATTTTAAAAAATTTTTGTAAAAAATACAACCATTCTCCAACGACCATAACATAAGAGTTGATGAAGAAGAGACAACTCAACGTGAACAATATTAAATAAACACATCGATGAACAAATAAAAACCTAGACATTTAAAAGACTAACAATATTAAAAACTAACAAATTAAAATAAAAAATAAATTAAAAAATCCGAGTTTAGAAGTAACATCAAGTGGTTTAATAAATTAGATAAAAACAAATTTGTGAAGGCCCCGCTGAACATAAATTATAGGGGCGCCCTGAGTAGCCCCCAATGGACAATACAGGGAAATTGCCATAAACTAACAGCGGATATAAAAAAAAAGAAATGAATGCAAATAGCCATGATGAAAAGAACCGATTAAAGAATTTATGCCCTTGAATATGATAAAGCTAAAATTACGGAAGAAAAAGAAGGTTGTATGGATACAACACCAAAAAACTGTTATTAATAGTAGCACTCGACAGCTTTGTAATGGGCGATATTGTAGAAATTCCCACATATAAAAATAATTTAAATATATGGAGAATGAACTTAAACTTTTAGTAGGATAATCTTTAGAAGGGGTTGCTTAAATTTCAGAAGTTTTATAAAACTTACTATAAGACTATAAGACTATTAAGAAACATAACACATTAACTATTGCAAAACTCATTTAGGCCAATAAGAAATATATTTAAAATTAAAAGGATGTCAGTGAGGCTGGTGGGTTTTACAACCGCTTCTTTTCCTTCAAAAATTAGAGCAATTTATGGATACATCTCTTGAGGTGATAAAAAAGAAAATTTAATTGGAGCCATTATCGCACAGATAATGGAGTGTGCCATGGATCATTATCCTGCTGAAAAACCATTCACCAAGGGCAAGGGCCATACCAATCGCACGCTCTGGGTAGGTCATCCTTATAATGTCTAAATACGTGTTGCGATGAGGCTCCCTGTAACTCTTTCCAAATATCCGACTCCCTTTGATGTTACAGGACCAAATCATTATCGATCCTCCCCCTGTTTATGCGTTTGCACCACCTGGTGAACATGTATTCGATTATTTCTGGATCGCTTCCAACATCACCTAATACCATCTGAAGCATATCGAGTGACCTTGTTCTCTTCCGAATAAATTACTTTTTCCCAGTCAGAAATGGACCACTTTCGTACTTCTTCGCAAACTCAAACCTTAGTCTCTTGTAACGGTCTGTCAAAGTGGGTACAATAAACTTTTTTTTTGCGTGGAGACCAGCAGAATGCAATGCTCTCGATATGGTCGATCTTGAAACTGGTCTATCTAATGTGGTTTTTATGATATTTAAAGCTTTCTGTGCAGATTCAGTTGAACCCAATATCACTTGTAGTACAAGTCGTTTTACATCCCGGTTTTTCAAGCTCTTTGGACCCCAGGTTCAATGCAAAGACGATTTGGATCATATAGAGCTTTGATCCGGGATATTGTGGTCCTACTGACGCCACTCACAAGCGAGCTCAGTATAAGGCTTGCCTTGATCCAAAAGTCATTTTTCATCATTTTCTTTATCTATTGAAGTTTATGCATTGTTAAATTAAGGTCTCTAAATTAGCTATCCTTTATAGTCACCCAAACGCTTTAAAAAAAAACCCCTCTGGTGGAGTGATCATGAAAATTTCGTATAAAGATTGAAACAATAATGCAGGAATGGGGGTCAGGTGCAAAATCGTTTCAATCGACACAAACTTTAAAAACCAATAAAGACTTAAGTAAGAAAACAATTCCTTAAATAAAACTGCATTTGATAGATCTCAATCTAAACTTATATTTATAAGGGATCAATATAATCAATATTAATTAAAGCGTTATAGAATTTTCGAGAAAAAATTTAAAATGTAGAAACAAGTTCGAATGATAGTGTATATTCTCGAGGACTCACGGCCGGTTAAACCCATAAAACAGGAGAGCATACACCACTCCAAGCCGACTGGCTAGAATCCAGCCCCAATATTCTTCCACTACTTCCGACAGTCATGATACTCACTTTAAGATATACAAACACTCAAAATTATGGCTAAGCGACCTGCGCTATCCTTACCTAACATCCCGAAAAAGTCTTAAAAGAATATTAAAATCTAATGGTTTTTGAAGAAGAAAAAATAGCAAAGGGAAGTCAAAATTTTTTTTCTATATACTTTTCTTCTTTCTTTTCCCATACTAAATGCAAATTATATTAACTTTTATTTAAGAGTTTTGTTACCGTTATAACAGCAATTACTATAATTATTTTAGTTTTTCTTAATAAAGTTTTTATTAAAGGGTTTTTCGCTTAAAACGAATATTATGACAAAATACGAAAACCTCTGGTATACTCTGAACCTCTGGTATACTCTGCGCTGGCCCCGTGCTATGCATCTGCCTTCCAATTTAAAGTAAGCCGTGATTCGTGCCTTGAGTATTGCTAGAAGAAATTTACTTCTTGAGGAAAACGTGGAAAAGAGATTAATAGTTACTCTCAAACGTAATAACTTAAAATAATATATTTAAAACAACATTTATTGTTTTATTACTATGGTATATGGAATATTAAACCTGAGTTCTTTAACGATTTAGTATTTAGGACTTTAATTTTTTATAATGCATTCGGAAGAAGAAACGAAAAAGTTTATACTACCTGTTGAAAACGAGCTTCGTTTTGAGGGTGACTTAGGAAACTACATTTCTGTGACAGTTAAGCGGTTCTAATAGCATATTTTACTTGCTTAAATTTATTATAACTTTGGTTGGGGTTTTTGGATTTTTTATCTAACTTAAAACTTTTTTTTGCGTTTCTATCTTTTTTTTTAAATAGCTTACCGAAGGAAGAGCTGAACTATTTGGCACAGAGTTAGCCAAAAACAAAGAGTACATTTTACAAGGAGTAAAGGTTTTTACAATCCCTCACTAATTATATATAAATCTCACGCTGGCTCTACCCGAGGCCGGTGTTTTTACTTGGCATGGTTGTAAGCTTGAGGTAAAAGGAAAGTTAGCAATGTCATACACATCAGACACAACTCCGATGTTAGAATACATTAACACTCACATGGTATGGTTTTCTAGTTCTGCTCTTAAACTTTTTATCCGTTATAAAATTATTTTTCTGTTGAACTATTCATATTATTTGTAGTATGTTAAGTTAATAATTATTTAATTATTGTTTGTCAGGCGCTAGAAAAAATGCGAGAGCAGTCCAAAGTGTCGAACCTCCCCGGCCCACGGGTTCTTATATAATCTTCTGTTTACTCAGCTTTTCATATTATATATATACGCTTTTTATATATATATAAAAATAATTTTTGATATGAAGTAATTATTTATAATATTAATAATTCTGTTGAGTATTACTTAATTTTTTTAAAATTCTTCTGAGATATAATAAAGCTCTGAAGTTTTTTAGGATTTTATATTTACTATGCTTCTGTTTTAATTTCTGTTCTGACTTAGTTAAAGTTTTAGTTATATTTTTTTATACTTTAATGTGTATTATTAAATTAATGTATATTATTTTAACTTTCTCACATCAATGAATCAAATATGCTTAGTATATATTTCTGTTATGCTTAAATATGTATTAATTATAAAAGAAGTTAACTTTTATTATAATTATTATGTACTGAATAGTTTTTATATACTTATAATATTTTATTATAGATCGTCTTTTTTATAAGTTACCTTCGATTTTATAAGAATTATTTTATATTAAATAATAAAAACTATTCGTTTTTATTAATTATTTTGTTTAAATAAAAGTGCAGTAAAGTTAATACTATTAATAAAATTTTACAATATGTACATGACTTTATATAAAACTTTTATTATATTTTTAATTAAAGTTATATATTTTAATCCTTGTTAGTAAAATAAAAAAATCTGAAAATATTTTTATTCGTTTTAATTATAAACTTTAAAAACTTTTATAAAAGAATAATTTTTTTTTAAAAATTTACCAGAATGTTTTTATAAAGTTATATAAAAAGATTCATTATTAAACTTATTATTATTTATTTTTGTTTTATGATAATCTTAATCTATTTTTTTAATCGTGAGCGAGAAAAAAAATTAAGTAAAAATAGAAAGAAGTTTTTAAAAATGAGAAATATAAAAACTTAGAAATATTTACTATAATTTTTTATTCTTTTATATAATTTATAAGAATTATCATAAGAAATTTATAGAAAATGATGCATTTTTATTTTTTATTTATTTTATAAATAGAAGAATTAATTTGTAAAAGTAATAATTATAAAATAAATTTATTTGTTTTGCTTTTATAACTTTTAAGTATAATTTTATAAATACAATTATAAAAACTATTTCGTTTTTATTGTTCATTGTTATATATATAATAAAAATTTCAATAGATATAATAATGCTAAAAAGTATTTAAAAAAAAGAATAATGAATTAAATAAAAGAAAATCCTTTTTTTATAGGTTGTAGTTGTTGGGGGCGAAGATGTTGGGAAAACTACTTTATGCCGTATTTTACTGAATTATGCAGTGAGAAGGTTTTATAAGCCTCTTTTTATCGACTTGGACGTGAGTTTGGTGCCTTTTTTATGAATATTTTATATATATTCGTGAATATATTATTAAAAAATACAACTATTTTTTTTATTTATTAAGGAAAAATAGTAAAATTATTTAATAGTTATAACTTTTGACTATATTATATTCGAAAATTTTAGATTTTTTTAAGTAAAATATATTATAATAATAAGATATGAAAACTATTATTATAGATTTATTTATTTTTATAAAGTAGCCTAAAACGGTAATGTAAAAAATAATTTATTATTATTTTTTTAGTATAAAAAGAAAATTTTTAATTCTATAAAATACTTTATATAAAGATAAAAAAATAAAAATAGTTAATATTAATAATACCCAAAAAAATAATCGAAATACAAATTTATTATTATTATTTATTTATAAAAAATAGTAGAATAAAGTAATTTTATTAAAAGTTTTATATACTTAATTAAGAATAAAGAACTTTTGATTTAGAAAAAATAAATATATTGAAAAATAGAATCATTATTAATTTATATTTCATAATTAAATAATAGAAAATAAAAGTTTTTACAAAATTTTAATCATATTAATAAAGAAGTAAAAAAGAAATTGTTTAAAAGTTGTTTTTTTATAAAATTATATATTTTTTTATTGGTATCTATAGGAAAAATGAGAGTTTTCTATATAAATTTCGTTATATTAGAATGAATAAAAAAAGTTTATTATAAAAAAAAAGTAAAATTTGTAGTAAAAATATTAGAATTATAAAAAAACTTTTTTATACATCTTTTAGATTTTTTTTAAAAAGTATAAAAAGTTTACATTTTTACTAAAATGATATATTTCTAATTTTTTACATTAAAAAAATAAAGTCTTTTTTTATTATCATCTAAAGTATTAACAAGAAAGTTAATAAAAGTTATGTATTGTACACTATATATTTTAAAAAAATATTTTTTTTGCACAGAAATTTTATTAAAGTTAATAAGTTTATAAGTTTTCCTGTTATTATTTGTAATATATATAAAAAGTAAAATGTTTAACTTTTTTGTAAAAGTTTTAACTATTATTATTATTATTTAGGATTTAGCAAAAGTTTACGTATTATTATTATCTAGTAAAAGTTCAAAGTGTTTTTGTTCAAAAAGTTGTAGTATGTATTATCATTAAGTAAACGTTATAATATGACAATACTTTCGTTTCTTTTACTTTTTCACTACTTAATTATTTTTTTTCTTATTATTATTATACTTTTTTTATTACTTCATAAAATTTTTCTATAATTTTTTTTTTATTTCTTTTATTTTTTTAATTTCTCTTTATCTCGTTATTTTTATAGTACTTATACTTATTTTATTACTTTATTATATTATAATAATAATACTTTTTATATATTTTTTATATTATTTTTTTCTTTACTTTTTTTTTTATTCTCTTTTTCTTATTATAATTTCTGTTTTTTTACCGCTTTTTTGTTTTTTTTATATTTCTGTAGTAAATAATTTTTTGTAGTCTTTTTCTTTATATTATTATAATACTAAACTTTTTGTTTCTTTTTTTACTCCTTTATTATTTTTCCTTATTATTATAATACTTTTTAAAATTTCACTATATATATCTTAATCTGTTTTCCTCATTATTATTATTATACTTTTTGTTTTTTCTTTTTTACTGCTTTATTATACTTGTTACTTGGTTATTATTATACTTTTTTTTAATACTTTAATATTAAATATTATTCTTCTGTATAAGAATGATGTTGGTCTGCCTGGAACTATTGGCTCGTTGCTTATGGAAAGGCCTGTAGATATTGAGGCGGGGGTTCCTTTTTTGCGCGCTTTTCAGTTTTAGTGAATATACTACTCAACAATTAGCATACTAAAAAAAATTTAACTTTTTTTTTTGCTAATTTTTGTACTTTTATTTAATGAAAAGTTAAATTATTTTAATTACTTTCAGGGAGTTTTTTTAGTGAATAAACTACTTAGCATAAAAACCCAACTTTTTTATAAACTTTCATACTTTTATATAATAAGTTAAACTTTTATTATTATTTTTAAGGAAAAAAAATAAAGTTGAAGTATTATAAGAGAATATTTATGTTTTAATAATAAATAAGAAAAGTTAAACTTTTTTTTATAATTATTATTAACTTGTATTATTTGTATGATAACTATAACAAAACTTTTATATTGTATACTTTAATGAACTCTCTTAATTTTTTGTTACTTATTAATTATTGTTATATTATTTTATTATTTTTAGTACTACGCAAGGATTTATGTTGAACTTTTAAGTTTTTATAGATATTATTTAAATTTATACGTATTTCCTCCTTCGTATAAAAATGTTTATTGTTTATTCTTTTTTTTTAATGAGTATCTACTTTAGAAGAATATTGTTATACTTTTTATAATATTTGAAAAATAATGTTTTAAGTAAAAGTTAAACTTTTTATGATATTTTTATTTTCTTTTACTTTTTTATATTGTTTTGTTAAATATAAAAGGTAATATAAATAATGTTGATAATAAAAATATAACCCTTTTTTAAAAACTATTTGTATATATATTTTACTTTATATATTATACTTTTTATTTTATATTAATATTATTATATTTTACTTGTTTAATTTTTTCGTATTATCCTATTATACTTTTTATTATTTTTTTTCAGTTTTATTATAAATACTATAATATTTACCTTTTTATTAATTTTTAATTTTTATATTCATATTATTATATAGTAATTTTTATTATTATTTATAATAATATTATATTTTACTTATTATTATGCTTTATTAATATTATTACTAGTTTCCTATAGTTTCTCCGTTACTGTTTCATTTCGGCCGACTTTCTCCTCTTGAGAATCTGGTTTTATATAAAGTAAAAAAAATATATTTTTAAATTATTTTTATATTTTCTACTATTTTAGTAATTGTTAAGACTTTTTGATAATCTTTTATTCTTCTATACAAAAATTTATTTATTATTATATTTTTTATTAAATAAATATTTATTATACTTCACAGTAATTTTTTATTCGTTTTATTAAAAAATTTATTTGTGTTTATATTATTTTTTATTAAATAAATTTTTATGTATACTTTTTGATAATTTTTGTTATTTTTAAAATTTTTTATTATATTTTCTATTAAAAATTTTTTTTAATACTTTTCGATAATTTTTAATCTTTCATTTTGTGTTTATATTTTATATTAAATAAATATTTATTAGTATTTTTCGAAAAATTATTAGTTTTATTTGAAAGTTTATTATAATTATATTTTCTATTACACATATTTTCAATAATGCCCCTCTATAATTTCTTATTTAATATAGAAATTTATATTACGTTTACATTTTTTCTTTTAAATATATATTTATGAATAAGTTTTATTTAAAAAATTTATATAAATTTTTTATTGAAAAATATTATTATTATATTTTCTTTAAAAAAATATTTTATTAATACTTCTCGACCAATTTTTATGCTTTTTATTAAAAAATTGAACATTATGTTTATATTTTTTATATATTAATATAATTAATACTTTTCGATAATTTTTATAACTTCTTTTTCTATATTTTTATATTTTATTTTTTATTATATGAAAATTTATTAATGCCTTAAATAATGTCTTATACCTTTATATGATTTATTTTTATATTTTCTATTAAATAAATATTTACTCCTTTTTAATAATTTATATACGTTTTATAAAAAAATCTATTTACTTTTATATTTTCTATTAGGTAAATATATTTTTTTATATAACAATTTTTATACTTGTTAAATTATAATGATATTACTTAATGACTAATAATAGAAATAAAATAATTATAAGTTGATATAATAATTGATATTATAATAATAATTATTTTATATTATTTTTATTTATATTATTATATATTGCAGAATTAATACTTTACTTTAAGTCTTTTACGAAATACAATTTAATATATAATAATACTTTTATCTTTAATTTTTTATTTTATTTTGAAAATAATTTTTGTATACTTTTTTTTAAATTTTATTAACTTTTTCCCGTTTTTTATATTTGATAAAACTAATAATTATGAATAATTTAATTTTTTATTATAATTTTTATATTTTTTTATTATTTATACTTATATGCAACCAGAGACACATGAAAATATAAAAAATATGTATAAATAGTGATAATCAGTATTTTATTTTCTACGCAACAGCATCTGCTCACGCGGCTTTCTCAAAGCGTGCAAAAGCGCTGCGAGGCTGATCAGGATATCCGCTCCAGCGGGTTTGTGGTGAACACGTGCTCTTGGGTGGATGGTACCGTCCAGGAAGTACTTCTGCATGCTATTGAATGCTTCCATGCGGACATCGTTTGCGTGCTTGATAACGAACGCTTGTTAGTGTTTCTTCATTTCTTTACTTTATTATTGCTATTATTTATTTCTATTATATATATATATTTATGAAATATTGATTTCCATAATATTATTATTTATCTCTTTTCATAACTTATTATTTATGTATTACTTTTTTATAAACGGGAACTTTATTATCACAAATAACTTAATTTTATTTATTTACTTTATTTTTTTTATTAAATATTATTTGTATATTAATATCCTTATTTATTATTTTCTATATACTTTATTTACTTTATCCTTTTTTTATTATTTTATTATTATGAAACTTTTCTTTTTTAGTTATTTATATTATTTAAATTAATTTTTTTATTTTTAGTAGTAAACTTATCAATGTTTTATTTTATTAAATTTTTTTTGTAATAAATTTTAAGTATTTATTATTATTAAATTGTTCATATATATTTTTTATTTCCATTATTATTATTAGTACTATTTATTATATTTTATATTAATTTAATAAATATTGTTTTTGTATAAATAATAAATTTTATTTATTATATTCTCGTTTGTAGTAAATATAATTGTTGAAAGTCGACATTATTATTTTTTTTATAAATACATTTTATTTCTTTGCCTTATTTTTTTGTAATAATAAATATTTTTCTATAAAATTATTTTATTTATAAACATTATTATTATTATGAAAGTATTTTTTTAAATAATGAAAGTTATTAATTACTATTATTACTATATAATTTTTTAAAAAAAGGTATCAAACTCTTAAACAAAAATACTCAAAAGAAAAAAGTATTGTTCGCTTATCGAAGTCTGGAGGAGTAATTTTTTTTTTATAATAAAACTCAACAAAGTTTTTAATATTATTAAAAATATATATAAAAACTTTTTATGTGAAACGTTTATTTTTATACTAAAGTATTTTTTGAGTTATTTATTACGTTATTATTATTACTTTTATAGTTTTTCCCTAGCATATATTTTTTCTTGAGGGGCTCATTATTGTTATTTTTATGAAAAATTTGTTATAAAAAGTATTTTTTACGCTATTTTTTTTATAAGTTATTTATATTGTTAATAATATTTTTATAAGAACTCTAATATAAAAACTTTTTTATACTATTTCATGTGAGTTACTTATAATATTATTTTTATAAGGGCTTTATTATAAAAAGTCTTTTCAACTATATTTTATAAGTTATTTATTATTTTATTGTATATTTAATAAAACTACTATAAATAATTTTCTTTAATGCTAAATATTAATTTTATGAAGGATTTATTATGTTATTGTTATAATTATTATAATAAAAAATGCTTCTTTTATGAGTTATTTATATTATCATTATTTTAAGAACTTTAATATAAAAAGTTTTTTATACCATTTTATGGCTATTGATATTTTATTATTTTGATTAAAACTAATATGATAAGTTTTTTTTAAAACTAAATATATTTTTTTTACTTTATTATTATTTTTATAAAAACATTGATATGTAAACTTTATTATAATTGATGTATTATATTATTAAAGTTATTGTGTTCAATATTTTAAATATTTTTATATAAAGTTTATTATATACTATATATATAATACCAATATTATTTCTAAGTTTATTATTTTTATATTTATATATACTATTTTGTATATATTATATATTTATAATTGTTATAACATAAATAGTTTACAATAATAAAAAATGTCTTTATTAATATTTTTATGTATAAAGTTAATATATATTATTTTTTATTATAGTTGTTATTTATTAATTATTTATTTTTTTTTAAAATTGTGAATTTTTATTATTAAAAAAATATAACTATTATATTTTACCTCCTATAATAAAAATTTTTAAAAACTTTTTTAAAAAATATTCTATATGACTTGAATTTTTTATTATTATTATCTAAACTTTTATTTTTATATTAATAATATCATTATTATAATTATAATAAACCTATATATATTTTAATATTTAAACTATTATATTTATAAATTAGAATTTACTATTATTATAATGATTATAACTTTCTATATTTATAAATATCCTATATTTAAACTTATTATTCTTATTACTTTATATATTATATATTATGTTTTATGAGTTATTATAGTAATAACCTTAATAAGTTTATAACAGATTGCTTTGACTTACTTTTATTTATGGTATATTTTATTGAATTTATATATATATAAAATAGTTAATAAGTTTACTTATGATAACTTTTAATATATATACAAAAAAAATTGCTAAAAGTTTAATAAGAATTAAACATGATATGAAAATAACTTAAAATATAAAACAAAAATAAATGAATATTTATTATTATAAATAAAATTTATTATACAACTATTATTTTTTATAATTATTATTAATAATATTTAAAGTTTTTTGTGTATTATTATTATTAAATTTTTTGTTTCAGAGTTTCTATAGTATAATTTTCTATTAACTTTTAATATTTTCTTATAATTATTATTGTTATTTTACTTTAAAGGTTTATTAGTAAATATTATTTTTTCGTTTTATGTTATTTTTGGTTTTTTATAGTGTTAATAATTAATATTATTATCATATAATAGACCGTTTCACGTTCAGCAGCTTATCGACAATCTTTGCGTGACTTACGTGTGAAGGTTTATTATTATTTTTATTATTATTATAACTATTATTACTATTATTATTATACTTGTAATCACTTTTATACTATTTTCATAGAAATATTTCTACGGCTTTAACAATCATTTGTACCCAAACTCGACAGTATTAAAGTTTTCAGACTTCAAACTGTTACTTAACATTATTATTATAACTAATATTTATATTTATAAAAAGTGCTAAGCTGTAAATAATACAGTTAAAGAAATATTTAAAATAAGTTATTTATAAGAAAAATAGATTATTTGTCTCACTTTATTACTTTTATTATTTAAAAGATATAATTTTAGTATCATTATTTATGTAAATTATTAATATTATTGTATTTATTTGTATCCTTCCTCTTTTTTTATTACTTTTATTATTATTATAAACGATATTATTATTATTTCTTGTTATATTTTTTTTAAAAACTTATATACTTGAACGTTAATTAAAAATATTTATTTATATCCCTTATAAATAATATTATTATTTTCTCTTTTTATTATGTTATTTTTATCATTACAAACGTTATATTTTCCATTATTATATTTTATTACTTTAGTATTTTCTATTATTATTACTGTTTGTTAATATTATAAACACTATTATGGTTATTATAATTATTATTGATTTTTTTATAGATATTAAAATACTATATTTCTATTATTTTACTTTTGAAAAAATATATCAATAAGTTGTTTAAATAATTATTAGTATTATTATCTTTTCATTATTGTTACTATATTTCTCTTTTTTATAATTATCATTACAAACGATATATTTTTTATTATTCTCAACGATATTATATATATTATTATTATTTATTATTACTTTTATTATTATTATAAACGATATTATATTTGTTATTATTACTTTTCTATGTTTTTACTTCTCTTTACCATTACAATAAACAATATTATTATTATTCCGTTAATTTATTATTAATAAATCAGTTATAAAATTGGCGTTCCTCCCATTCCACTTTCTTGCCTTCCGATTGGAGAAAAAATCGAAAGTTGCGAAACAAAATTGTCTTCTTTAAAGTTTTCTGAAGATTTGGTTTATTTTTTCTTTAAACTTTGTAATTTATTTTATTAGAATTTTATTATTATTATTATTATTATTATTATTATTATTATTATTATTATTATATATTTATAAAAAAAATATAAAACTACTTTATATCTGAAAAATTTATAAAGAATACCTAAAAGGAAATATTTTTTAGACAATAAATGTTTTATATTTCATACTTTTTTTTAATATTTACCTGATAAAGTTCGTTATTTATATTATGCTTTATATTATTATTATATTATTAATAATTTACTTTTTAATTTTTTTATGAAAATAAAAAAAAGTAAAAGTTTTTAAATTTTACATAAACAACACAAAAGATATTATGAACTACATAAAAATATTTTTTTTAATATATTTATTAGAGAATATTCAAATAAAGATGGATACTGGATATTATTTTTTTTTTCCAGTTATTTATAATATTTAATGTTTTGTAGATATCTATGTAATATACGTAATAAAAGTAGCTGCATATAAATCTGTAAGATATATGAAAAATAATAAAATAAATATTAATAACAATAAATAATGAACTAAATAAATAATGAACTAATTAGAATTTATTGTTATTATTATTTATTTTAAAAAATATATGCAACATTATTTGTTAAGAAAAAAAATAATATATAACTAAAAAAAATAAAAATCGTGTAAAGTTATTTTTTTATGTTTTATTTTTTATTATTTATATTGATTTTAAATAATAAAGAAAAATAATTAAAAAATCTTTATTATTTATAAGTAAATATATAAAAAAGTGTAAATATATAAATTTATAATAATTAATGAATTAATAAGAAAAGTACTTATCTTTAACTTTTTATTTGTCTCATTTATATATTATTAGTAAATTTTCATAATTATAAACCAAATATTATATTATTTTTGTATATTTTTTATAAAAAATATTGAAGAATTGTACAACTAATATAAGGAAAGTATAAATATTTGATATCTTTATAAACTATAAATAAAAAATATTTAAAAATAAATAATTTTCTATGTTTTTAATATTTTCTTGTAGAATATTATTTAAGTTATACAACAAAAATATGTAATATTTATAAGAAATGATATAAAATTTATAATATACTTACGAGTAATAAAAATACTTACATTTTTTCTTATTTTTTATATATATATTTTTATAACTATTTAATAGAATATTTATCCATAATTTCTTAAGTTTATATCAAAGAGCATAAATTTATAATATTGAAAAGTGATTATCTTTTACGTTTCTTTTGAATATAAATATTTATAGGAAATAGGAGTAATATATAAATATATATATTATATATAAATTTTTAATAATAAATTAAGAGAAAGTTGTTATCTTTTGCTTTCTTATTTTATATTTATTTATTACTTATGTAAAAGTTTTACATATTTATAGAATTTTTTAATAAATATTCTTTATTAGTAAGTAATATAATTATATTTTATTATTGTAAATTTACTTTTCTTTTGGTGGTTATATTGTTTATTATCAATTATGACTTCTTTTGTATAATATTTTATTTTCTTTAAAACTTTTTATTCTTATAAACAATAGAAAATTTACAATATTTATAATAAAATTTCTAGAAGAATATTTAAAATAAACATTAATACGTAAAATACCAGCTTTTTCCGTTTAACTTATTTATTTATTTATTGTTTATTATTTATTAAATCAATATTGAAAAAAGATTAGAATTTATAATTTTGTTACATAAAAAATTATATAGCCGTTATAATAATTATGTAATATTTATTTTCTTGTGTAATTTTATTATAAATATAATTTAAAGGTCTATAAGAAAGGTGAAAGAACATTTAAAAATATATTAAAAAAAGTATCTAGTATCTATTATATTATGGTAATAGAAATTTCTTCATCTACGCTATAATGTTTTATATATTAATAAAGTATAAATTATTATATTTTTCTATAAATATATACTATTTTATTCTATAGATATAATTTTATAGTGTAGTTTAGCAGAAAGTTCCCGAATGTTCGAGATGTTCCGAGCATGTACTTTAGTTTGAGGGTATAGATAACTTCGGCGAGGGCTGAATTTCGCTACCAGCGAGAACAAAAAATATAAAAATATACATTATTATGTGAAATTTACTGAGAATGTAAAAAATAGTAATTATTATTATATGCAATTATTTTTTAAATACTATTCAAAGAAGTATACATCATAATTATTTTATTTATTTATTATTTTGCATCTGTCATAGTTTTTATATATATAATTATAGAGTATATACAATATATTTATAACAAATAAAAAAATTTATTTTTTTCTTTATAATCTATTTTTATTCAAAAAGTATAGAAAATAAAGATATATAACTTTTATAGATGGAGATTATTTGAAAACATATAGCATTATTATTAGACAGCAGTAAAGAGTTGCGTTTTGTTACTTATCATTGTTATTTAATATACAATAATAGAAAAAAAAGTTAATGGCTTTTAAAAAAAAATTTACAGTAAACTATGAAAAAGAAGTAATATTTTTAGTTTCATTATAAAACTGAAGAAAAAATGGTACTAAAAATATTTTTTTTGTAATGAAATAAGTTAAATTTTATAAAATTTTAAATAACCAGTTAACCTTGTTTTATTAATGTTATCGTTTCAGAAGCGTTATAGTTTTTTATAACTTTCTATTCGTTAATATTATTTATTTATATCTAATGCTTTTTTTTTTGATATATTTCCTGTTATATTTTGTTTATTGATTTTGAGATCATTAATATTTTTTGTAAAGTATAATAAAATTAATTTGTATTTATATATTTGTCGTATATTTTATTCTTTTCAAAAACTATTAAACCTTTTTTACTATTTTTTAAATTTACTTTTTATATATATTTAAAAAACTTTTTCACAACTTCTGCTTAATAGCTTTTTTATAAAATAATGCATGGGCAGACCCACGTGCTTTTGAGTGTGTGTAACAGCGATGGCGATTCGGAGGAGCACCCCGTTATAGACACGAGTATACTCGGCTTCTTATACGTGTATCAATTTTATATTTATTTATTTTTTTGTATGTTTATAATAACTTAATATTTAGAAAAGTTTAATAGTGATTTTTAATTATTTATAAATTTTTCTAATTTATATATTTTTTTATTACTTTTGTTTATTCATATTTATATCAGTTTGTATATATTTATAAATATTAATATCACCAATTCTTAATTGGTTAATTTTTTAATTTAAGTTTATCTTATTTTTTTGCTCCCCAATAGCACAGCAGTAGACATGGCGAGAAAACACGTGACGGTGCTTTCTCCTGCGCCGGGGTTGGTTATTTTTTGCTACGGCTATATGCTTACAACACGTATTATAGTGAAATCATCGCCCAACACCAGGCCTATTCCTAAAAATATTCTTCTGTTGAGCAACTTCAAAGTAAACTTGGAATAAACGGGAAAAAAGTTTTTCTGAATAATAGAAAATATATAAAAAGTAATAATAATGTTTCTCTTATTATTATTATTCTTTACAAATAAAAACTGATTCTTTTCTCTTCTGAGCTTCTTTCTTATTCTCGAGATTAAATTAAAAATTCCGTTTTTCGCCGCTTTTATTCGAACCGATCATCCACCCAAACCTCTAGCCGCTGTCCATTTGCCAATCAGTGTGTTCACGTGTTTGTGCGTCAGATTAGCGTTCCTCACTTGGCCTTTTTTTTTCTTTTGATTTTCAGCCAATTGCTTTTGTTCAAGAAGCTTCAGTCGTTCAGGATTGATAAAAGGTCGGTGCTCTCCCGCACGTGATTTGGTTTGGTTGGACCACGTGATCTCGTCTGGGTGGGGCGGTGATGGCGGCTTTCTAGGTGACAACGGTGCAACCATAAGCGGTTCTCTAACTGGCGGCGGATCGCAAGGCAGTGGTGGGTCAACAGGCGGGGAAAGGCAGGGAGGGGGTGGAAGCGGAGGCTGTCCCTCATTATTGTTATCGGTCTTTTGCCGTTGAAAAACACTCTCTGAGTGGCTTGCAGGTGCGTCCACGTGCTTATTAGTCCTCGGCTGGTGGTCTACTTGCCCTCGCAGCGCTGTGGTGGTATTCGTTTTACGCTGTTCAAGCAAAGAAGCTGTTTTTTGCATGCACTTTATAAAGTAATCTGAATTCAATGCGCCCAAACGCCAGTCTTCCGTTCTAGTGCGCACCTAATTTCAAAAGTATCAAAAATATATAAACTTTATTTTAAGAACGCAAATTAAAAATTTATTAAAAGAAACATTATTAACTAGTATATATAAAATTCTTTTATATAGAAAAACAATATATTCTACAAAAGTTTTCAAGAAATGTAAACTTTATACGACAAAGGGAAACAGAAAAAATAATAAACTGCCTACAAACACAATCACAAATCTATATTAGTCGACTCCTCAGTGTGTGTAACATGTAGGTGCACTCTTAAAGGAAATATTAAACGTAAAAAAAAAAAAGTCACTGACCTCCCACATCGCAGTAAGAAGTTCGTTGCAATGTGTGAGATCAACGTTAAAAAAGTTAAAAAGATCATTCACACGCTTAATTAATTCTTCAATACCATCGCCTTTACTATCTATAATATTTTCTTCGGTCCTTACTTCGATAGGAAGAACAGCATCCGGTTCTATCCATTTTTCATCATTTTCTTGTGCTATATTTTTCAAGCATTCAAGCAAGTCAGTAATTTTTTCGTTGATGCTTTTACTGGAAGGCTTAATAAAATCAGGAATGGCGCTTTGAGAGAGCTTTTCGTGAGAAGGAGAACGAGTGACGTTCAGTTCATCTGATTTAGTATTCTTCTCAACGGTTTGCGAACCTCCAGAAGTTTTTTGTGCGAGGGAGCGTATCGACAAAGCCAACGACGCTGCAAGATCTCTAATAGAGCAAACAAAATTTTCAAAAAAAATATAATATAAATTTCAAAAAAAAAAAATTGTCACAATTTCAGAATTATTAGAAGGTAGTTAACGATCGTAACTCAGAATTTTCATTTTTGAAAACTTTCAATAAGTTTTTCCTTTTGCTTTCATTGGGGGATTGAAGGTGTACGTCATCTTGGTGTACATCATCAAAAATCTCTTCTTTACTTTTTTCGATAGATTCTTTTTGGTCTTTCGATTCCTGTTCAAGACCTGCTTTATTAGGAGAAGAAAGTTTTCCGGTTTGACCGGAAGTTTCAAGCTCTTTCTCAGATTTTTCTACAATTAAACCAGTATCTTCTGTGTTGGCCACTGAAGAAGGTAAGGGAGCCCCAGAGGATAAATTTTCTTGTTGAGGTTGGGGCGTAGCCAAAGAATAAAAGGAGCTTGTTGAAGAATAGGCTACTGAAGGAGGATTCCAAGTAACTTCCTGGGTGTAAATGTTCCAGTAATAAGGATAGCCAGTGTATTCGTCATAACAAGTTCTCCATTGTTCCATTCTATAAAGGGATTAAAAAATGGCTATGTTAAAATAATGCTGGGGAATTACGTAAACTTTCTTAAAGGCTTCAAGGGTGAATATTGACGTGCAGCGGTAGTGAGTGGTGGTACATGGCACGAACAACGAAGACAAAGCACGCGAAGCATAAACGCCCCGCCATATGGGTCACTATTTATGCTGAGTAACTTTTTTTTTCAAGTTTGCTAATATTTTGAGTTTACTAAATACATTTAAAAATATTTTATAAATATTTATACAGAGTTTTTTTTGTCTGTAGCCTGTTGCTTAAGTTTTTTCTTAAACTTTCTCTTTTTTAAAGAGTACTGGCGTAACAACTTCTAGTTTTTTATAGGGCGCTTAACGTTATAAGCTTTGACCAATTTTAAATATTAGAAAAAAGACCTAAGCTTATTTAAGTAATAAGCTACGAAGCTACTAGTAAAAAAAGTAAAAACAAATTGTGATTAGCAACACTATTCCTTTTTTTTCCTTTTTTTGTGCATGTATGAATGTATTCTGACGTTCTCCTTGCTAAAATTAATTCGATATGCTCTGCTTCTTTTTTATTGAAGTAAAGAATTAGGCGAAATAGTTTTTTTTTTAAAAAAATTGTACTAAAAAAGTTGTTGGTATTATAAATGTTTATACTGTTTCTACCAGATATAAACCTGCTTTTTTTTATGATTAGTCACTTAGAAGATTTGTTAGTACAGATTTTAGACAAACAGGTAAACACTTCATTTAAGGTACTCACTAAAATTTAGCGTCGTACTTCCTTGATTTTAGCGACTTGTACTAGATTTGATCGAGTCCTACCAAAGTGGGAAAGGTCTCGTCTTTTTTATGCCTTTCTCTAGCTTGAAAGATAAAAATAGATTCATACAACATAGCAATATCAAGGCATTGCAGATACGTCATTTTTTACGGGTTGCACTAGACCCACAGGCATAAACTGCGTTAGAGATTTGAATTTAGCTATTTTACTTGATTATGTTATTGTAAATATATTTCTGGCAGAACTAACGTTTCTGTATACTTAAGCAGTGCACAATAAGTTGTTTCGCCGGAAATATCTCAGTAGCTTTTGTTCAATTCTTTTTTTATTGAATAAGTTTCTAATTTATTAATAAATCTGTAGTTTTAAAATAAAATATTTTCTTAAAGTATGTAGGACTTTCGTTCTTTTTTTTTTTACTTTATTAATATTAGTGTCCTTATTAAGTTTACTCTATAGTCCTTTAAATTTTGTAGTATTAAAATCAAGTTTAATTTTAAGTAAACTTCTTATGCCCTCGTTGAAAATTTTTACTCCTAAAGTCACTAATCATTCTTTTAAGAGTCATCTTCTCTTTGAGCTTGTTAAACTCGTTCGCAACAATTTCTTCGGCGGTTAACTTTTTATTTATTAACTGTTGCAACCACTGAAGTTAAAAAAAAGTATTTTGCTTCTATTTTTTAATATAATTTTTGTTTAAAAAGTAACGTAGACATTTATTTTCATTTATTTTTAACTGTTTAAATTTCTTTATATGTGACCAGTTTTTGATCCCTTACGAAGTTTTTATCACCTTCAATATTTGAATTGAGAGTTTTTGGCAAACAAAAAGTGTTTCAATTCCGAAAAGATTAAGGGTAAAACAAAGTTTAATTTGGTGTACAGTTGACCATTATTGCTTTATCCTTAAAAATATTTGTGTAGAACAAACTCGAGCATTGTTGGTAATTGAGGAAAAGAGGTTTTTTAGTTTCATAAAAGTCAAAGTTGCTTGAAGGAAAAATCTAAATTAATTCTCTGTTTTCTCTGGAAATTTATGCGTCACGCAGTTATTTAATTTTAAAAAGTAAACTTTAGTTAATAATTCTTATATATTTCCATTTCCACTCCTAAAATATATTTTGAGGAAAGCAAATATACTTTGCTGGTTTTCTGGCTCTCCTTTTTATTTTTAATTTGAAAATTACATGACTTTGACTGCTTCAGTCACAATAGAAAAGGTAATAAAATTTCCGTGTCTCTCGACGCATTCACCACACCCGTGAGCTCTCGAAAAATCTTGATAACAAACGAGGGTCACTGCAAACTTGCATAAAGTTTACTTTTTATAATAGATCAACAAGAAATTTGTAATTTCCCAATTTTATAATACTTCGTTCACCCTTTCAGGCACCAAGTAGGAGCTGAACCGTAAAACCCTTAGAGAGCTGCAGAACTGGTTACAAATGAAAAAATTGGCAACTATGACTTTCTAAGGTATGTCATTAATAACTCACAGCCTTAAAGGATAACATAAATTCTTTAGAAAGTAGTGCCTAACTCAATTTTAAATGTGTACCTAAACATTCGTTATTTCATTTACCTTGGTAAAGAAAGTAAATTCCTATAATACTATGAGTATTAGTACTGTAAAACTCATACCTTACTGATTGATTGGTTACTTTCTAAAAGTGGTGTACACTTTTTAACGTAATGGGATACCCTAACAGAAATATTGGCCCCGAGTTAGTGATGATGCTAATTTGATTAAACAAGTGTTTAGAAACTTTTTAACATTACTATTTTACAAACTATTTACTTAGTGATCCTGTAGACTACTACGTTAGCTTCAAACCTTGACTTTAACCCTCTTTAAACATGTAGTTACATACTCTTCTATCTCCCTAGCCAGAAACTATGCTTAACCCTACCCTTAGGGCTTGTAGGGTCTGAAACATGCCAGTTTGGATTCCTTCGTTTCCTACTGTTTGAAGCCATCCCTAATAAAGTGAGGTGAATAAAATATTAAAGTATTTAGCTTTAAAGTAAAAGTCTCTATTTCCCTGATACAGGTAGAAAACTTATATTAAGAAACTGAGAAAATTAATTACAAATTATTTATCGATCAATATGGTGCCTTTATCTTCTAGCACACTTACGAAGGGTTAAACAATATCGCTGGCCCTTTAAATCAACGTCAAACCTACAATAGTAAAAGCTCAAAGCCCAGAAAAACCTTTTTACCGAGGAAAAAAAACGCGGAGACAAAAAGTAGGGCAAACACATACAAATAAATCTGCTATAACTTAAACTAACTAATCTACCTACATTAATTATAAAGGTTAAGGAAGCCGGCCTCTTTAAAAGGATTTAAGGACCTGCAGACCATGTTTATTATTTTTAGCGTTAATATTTTCTGCTTAATGAATTTTTCCCATTAATGGAGGTTTAGTACTTTCTTTTACTAATGGCATTTCCTGATGCTCGTTCAGGTTACAAAGGAAACGCCGACCTACAACTTTCAACGGGGTGTTAGCATACTATTAAGTATAAAGCTTTTTTTAAAGCAAACTTTTCATATGTATACACCTGCACAGTCGGCGATAACGCGCGCCATCTGCTATTTGTCGACTTGTGTGCTGGGTAAGCCGTCCATTAGTGTTATGAGTGTTGCGTCGAAAACTGGTAAATAGAGACTATTCGGAAATCTTGATGTAGATACTGTCGGTTCAGGATAATGGTATTGTTAAACGGGCAATCTAAACCATTAAAAAGGCATTAGCAAAAAGTTTGAACGACAAGCTGAGTGGGATGAAGTTTAGATTATACCTATTGTTTTTAAAAGTTGCCTAATGTTTGAATAGTATAGTCTATGCTAACCCTATTTAGAACTAAATTACTTTGATTTTGTTAAAGAGGACAGTCTAACTAAAAAAGTAAGGATGAAGTAAATACAACTTAAGTGTCTAATTTTTATAAACTATAATAAGTGTAAAAGTGACATGAAAGTTTGAAAGAGGAGACAAGAGTTATCTGTAGAGGGTGTGAAAAAAAAGTTTATGTAAAAGAGTTAAATAAAGGATCAAGGAAATTTGATGTAGGAGACGTTATATTTTTTGAAAATAATAGTCTAGCTTTCGAGAACAGTAGAGGGCCACAGTGATACATAAAAAAAGGCTTCCGAACACAAGGATCTATGATTTTAAATACAAGGAGAAGCTACTCAAGCGAGGTTCCAGGTAAAGATAACGAGACGAGTTATGCAAATTAAGGGAAGTTGGATATAAATTAAATGTTAGTGACATGTTTAATAACTCTAAAATTGGTTCGCAGACAAAGAAAGAATGGACCAAGTGTTTATACTAAGAATGGTCGTCTTGCACTAGATAAAATGTTAAATCTTCAGATGCGATTTGGGAGGCACAACTAAAACTTTTAAACACTAAAAGTCAAATATAATGATGCTTATGAATTTTATACGATAAAAATTTCCGTGGTCAAGATCTGTGTAAACTAATTCGCCTCAATAATTATCAAAATAAATTTAGAGTTATCATACAATTAAGATAAAAACTTACTTTATATACATATGTTTGCCTATAATATAGTTTTTGAAACTTAAAGCTTTCTATGATGGACACTAACAAAAAACTTATTGCTCTACAAAATTATACTCTGAATTTTAATTTGTTTCATTAAGTGCTCCACTAAGCTTTATAGGAGATTTGGCTATAATCTATCGAGAATGTTTACGAACACTTCATGGTTAATTAGCATTGCTCAACGTACAGAAAGCTTTAGATTTAAACAGTTAAAAAATTTATAGTTCAGATTAGCGGGTATGCATACAAAAAATGGTGTTATAAAAATTCTCTGGTAGTGCGGCAGCTTTCTACGTTACTTTGAACTTTATTTTGTATTTAGGAAATAAACGGTCCTTATAATTTCCTGCGTAATTATGACAAGAGAATCTCAAATTTCATGAGACTGTGTACTATAGAACAAGAAAAGACACCTCAAGTTTAATGGCAATTATTACTTTATCAACTATAAACACAAAAAGTGACTTTAGGTATATTACTACCATATAAATGTTGTGGGGGCTTATTATAATTTTTATACACTTTAAGATAAGATTGTAAATGCTAACGTTCCAGCTAGAATAATCATTGAATTTTAATTTACGCGAATACAAAAGAAAACTACTTGAGAAAAGTTAATATTTCGTTAAACTTTTCTTTTTCAAGTTTAATACGTCTT